AGCGGCACATATTGATTATTTTAGGACAAAGAAATCAGAAAAATATAATGCACTTAAAAGATTATGACAGTGATTTGGTTCAACGGCTGAATAAGGCATCTGCACTCAGGGAACATCTTGATTCGAGATATTTTCTTGGCTCACAGAAAGAACTCAGACTCCTGTTGCCTCATCATCGACCTCGATCTGCCAGTGTTAGCATCTAAATGTACATTATACATGTTACTGTTAATAAGAACCCAGCAAACACTGAACCAAGTAAGAGAAACTGAAATAAAACCATCACATCAGGAATCCACCCCCAGCAACATTTTTTTAAAAGACTGCTCGTGCTAAGTGTGTTACGCATACCCAGCGTCCCCTTAACGATAACAGCAGTTTTAATAAGACAAAACAAGTATTTAATTATGACGTATTAGAGTAAATATAAGATTCCCTCAGTAACACCTGTTATAATGCGATTACACTGAATTATCCATAAAAGCCCTTAATAATGATTTCATGCCATGTGAGTCATAAAGCTGTGATAAAGACAAAGAACAATATAACAGTTCACTATCATTCTAGAAAAAATAACATATGCAGCAGCGAGACAAAACTCAGTCTTTTTCATTACGTGGCCAGCAGGGTACATGTTTGGGGTTTTCTTCTGTAAGTGATGCCTGTGAGAACAAGACAATCAGCAGGCTGAAAGGAGCTGCTGAGGTTGGGCCATCGGGTACCACAGAGGACCTTCTGAGGTCTGGTAGAGTTCAGGGATGGGAGGAAGCTGCTATTACAGGGCCGACCGGCAGCATGGTAGGCAGGTTTTATCTCGCTGGTGCGTGAAATAATATCCCAGCACCAAAGATGTAAATGTTTGCTTGATAGAATGAAGCTAAAGGTATTTTTTGAAAGCATGATACTAAATGTTTTTAACTCTGTGTGACGGACTCTGCTGCTCTAATTAAAATGGGCGTAGGGCAGCATAGTTGGATGTGTAATAGACATAGAGGCCTGGGTACACAGCCTCTGTGAAGGTGGTGCGGAAGGTGTGGAAGTGACTCAGTGTGTTATGGGAGACTTTGTAGAAAGACAGAGTGCCAGCAGGCCAATCAAGAAACACTCCGACTCTGCTGCAGCCGGTACTGGGAAGACTTTCGCTCCACACTTTACCATTATGGTAAGCACTGAGCTCTTGCTCGTACACACCAAAATACCAGGATTTGGTGTTAGAACCGAGCCCTGCCTCGTCACTCTTACCCATCCTTACAATGCTTTGGTACGTAACAGCTACACCAACGTTATTACTAGAACCAGTACTCCACTCCACTTCCCAGTAATGGCGCCCAGTCAGCCCCTCCCTGCACAAAACCTGAGTCTTTGTATCAAACCTCTCAGGACAAGCAGAATACGTCTGCCATGCTCCACACGTTGCCTTCTTGTTGTCCTCAGACAGAATCAGGTAGTTGTTTGCAGTGTTTGGGTCCAAGGTGAGATCACAGGCGTCTGAACAAGAGGGGAAAAAACAACCGTTCGTTACCACACAGTCCACTTTACAACAGCACACTCACATCCAGCACATTGTTTAGAGGAGTGGGGTCTAGAGCAGGGGTGGGCAATCTCAGTCCACGAGGGCCGGTGTCCCTGCAGGTTTTAGATCTCACCTTGGGTCAACACACCTGAATCACATGATTAGTTTGTTACCAGGCCTCTGGAGAACTTCAGGACATGTTGAGGAGCTAATTTAGCCATTTAAATCAGCTGTGTTGGTTTGAGGACACATCTAAAACCTGCAGGGACACCGGCCCTCGTGGACTGAGATTGCCCACCCCTGGTCTAGAGGCTTCTTGTGGTGAGATTTGGGATTGCAAATTTACCCTGGCCTTTTGTATCAGGCATGTAGGAGAACCAAGAAGCCACCAGGTTTCAAACATGGTGTCAAAGTTAAGTCCTGCATTTAATCTGATGTCCACTCAGCAGGTTTTGTTTTAAAGGCAGCATACTCACAGTGAATACGTTTGTCTCCTCTTACTAATATTCTGTTACTGATGAAGATATTACTGATAACTGCATCACAGTGTCTGAAGGTATAATCAGTACTTCACCTTTGGAGCTTAAAACTTTGAAAAGTACTGAGTATATCTGATATTTTCCCACTTTTGTAAATTTATATATACACTGATGAAAGTTCCTAACATTGACAATCTATTGAATTAGCTCCTAGAAAAAGTCCAGCCAATCACCTTATCATTTTCCACTCGTCCCCAGGTTAGTAGCATTGCATATATTTTTGCTGCACATGAAAACAAATAGGTAAATATGGACTTACACCAGAGGAGTTCTTGTCTGTCTTTCACAGAAGCGACATCAGGAACAGCAGGCTTTGAAAACTCTTCAGTGACCCGACGGCCTCTCCTATAGTGGTAGATGGTTGCTCCTTTGTACTTCTTATTTGTTTCTGATGCCACAATGAAGCTAAACCTGCTGCTGCTCTTCAGGCCTTTGGTGATGCTGCAGAACTCTTCAGCTTTCTGTCTCAGGTTGGCTACCACTTCAGCTGAGAAGAACCAGTGGTCTTTTGTTGGTGGAGTGAAACTGTCATGACAACGCAAGTATTTGTACATCTGGTCCAGGTAGGGGTCGTCAGTTTCCACAGAGGTGAAAACAAAGCTCAGGACATCGTCTACATCCTGAGCAAGACTCACTCTGTCGAACTCGGACTCATCTTTAGTGATTTTTATCCCCTTCATTGCTTCCACACAGGACCTGATGACGTTGATTTCTCTCTCTGTATTATCTAACCACTTGTCTAAGTTCTCCAGACTGAATGGTGACTTCTCCTGGTCGTCTAAGAGTTTCTCCAGTGAACTGTCTTCTTTACCCTCAAGAATGGAAGGGAATGTCTCCATCATAGCCTGTCTCAGCTTTTTTCCACTATCTTCACAGAGGTTTTGGAAACGCTTCAACTTGTTGAGAATCTGTGGAAAACTCTGAACCACGTCTTCATCCAGAGAGTCATTGCATCTCATTTCCATTTCTTTGATGATTTCTAGAGCATTCTCAGCTTTCCTCAGTAACCCGACACAAATCTCTCCCTTCATCTCTTCAGCGGTTGGGTCCAGTTTCTTCAGCGGTGTCAGCCACACTTTGACAGGAACTGTTTTCTCTCCATTTCCTCCAAGGAGCTTTGGAAGCTGTGAGTAGGTCTTCACTGCATCTTCAAATGTTGAAGGGTTGCTGTCGAGAATGAAGTCTCCGTAGAATTTGCAGGTGAATTTATCAGTCACAGCTTTTTCTTCTTTACTCAGCTTGACGTCAACCTTTGCCTCAGAACTATATACAATGATCATCTTAACTGCTGCCTGCATGCGGTCCTTCATCTGCTGAACACTGCTGCTCTCCAGCTTCTCGCTGTCAAACACAAAGAAAGCATGTGCCCCATATTGGATGCCTGTGACTACGTGTGTTGCGTTGCTTTTCTTAATGACGTCTTGTATTTGTGTGGTTTTTGCTTCAAGGTGAGTCATTGCCAGCCGTTCAAATGCAGTCGTAGCTTTGAACTGAAGCGTCACTCTGCTCTGGTTCTTGAACTTCTTGTTGTCATTCAGATAGCTGCAAGACCCACTCTTTTCAGTCAGTCCACACAACCAACTAGTTTTAGAATATGTATCTACATCCAGCAGAGAAGACTTGGTCTCAATGGAGTCTGATGTAGTAATTTCGTAGGTGGTGCTGGCCTGATTCTGCCTAGTGCTGTACCTTTTAATCGTTTCTCTGTCCCACAGCGTGAAATCTGCAGAAAACACAAAAAGGAAATGTTTTTTTGAAAAAATTATTAACGTTTCTGTTGATTCAGTAAGAATAAAGCCGATGAGCCACACCATGCAGATATGGGAAAGAGTTTTTGGAGCTAGGGTAAGGAGTGAAGTGATGATCAGTGAGCAGCATTGTGACTTCATGCTGAAAAAGAGCTACAGATGGCCTGTGGCACTGACTCCCCAAGTCATGCACCAGTACCCCGGAAAGACTCATCCTGCACCAGCTCCGAGCCATCAGACCGCATCAGGATCACCTTCAGTTTGCATACCAGCCCCGACTCTGCGCTGAGGCCACCATCATCTACCTGCTCAATCGTGCCTACACCCATCTGGAGCACTGTGAGGGTCGTGTTTTTGACTTTTCCAGTGCTTTCA